AAAAAAAAAAAAAAAAAAAAAAAGAGCAATCAAAAACAGTTCCAGGTCATGCTGAAACAAAATAAAGGCACATACATGTAGATATATCTCCACTAGAATATTTAAAAGGAAAAGACCAATACTCCAACTATTTAAACTTCATTGTCGCCTTTCCACAAATAACAGCTGATGCGCAAAATCTTGACACTTTCTGTGTAACCTGAGAATACAAGTCTGATGAGAGATAATCTGCAGAGAATGTGTCAGACCTCCCTGGATATTTCTGGAGAACTGGGATGTAACTGGAAGTCTCTGATCCTGATACAAAAATGCTGCAATCATACATAGATGACAAGTTTCCACAAAGCCTGCATTGCAGGGACATAAATGTATTTGGATGGGGATCTTCGCAAACCTTTCTCCCAGGCTTCTGAGTTGGACAAGTCAGATGTTTAAACTCATGGTGGGAAAAGGAATAGGAGAAGCGATGGTGAAAGATCTAAGGTGGAAGGATGATGGGGGGCATCCTTTCTGCTCCTGTGGTGGTCATCACTGCTCTTTCAAGGAGGGATGACACAGCAGAGAGGGGAAAGAGATCCTACAAAATGCAGATTTCCAAGTGAGCAAATGAAAAGAAAGGCATCTCGCTTTCTTCCATGTGAGTCACATTCTATTTCTAAACTCCACTCTGCCAAAAGAGAGAGAGAGAGAGGAGGGGTATGCTGGAAATCTGTGATATGCAGCAGAATGAACAAGTTTGCTACTCCAGAAAGGCTTTCTTTTCCAAGTGACCTTAACATGAGCCAAGCAGTAGCAGATCTGGCTTTGGAAAGGTGGAAATCCTAGCCTGCAAAAAAAATATGATGTAGAAAGTTTTATTTCTTCATGGTTCTCCATCAGCCATCCTGGCTTAAGTAGTGCCATGGAGCAGATTCATTCCAGAATTGGCCCTGGGATAAAGAAGAGCAGAAAGAAAAAGAGGCCACTGGTATCCAAAGTTGCTAGCATCAGTGCATATTGCGTCTGTGCTGAAACAGTGCAAAAAACCAGCCCTGTTCCCTGTCACAATAACCTCAGTTACAAGCTGCAATGTTTGGCATAGTCTGAATTCTGCAGCTATTGCTGAAGTAAGAGGGGATGTGGTTTGCAGCGTTAATGCCGCTTTATCAAGTACCAACTGCTGTTGCTGTTCTTTCTAATGATGAGTATGAATATTGGCTTTTCTGCAGACTTAAATATGCTCAACGGAGATTACAATAAAATGTGCAGGAACACATTGCATGCAGGATAAAATGGCATAAATAGTAAAGGAAATGAACTGCATAACCTAAAATGAAATCATGCCCAGTTTCTGCAGGAGAAAAGTAACATTTCTGAAGTGCTTTCTTTATGGTTGTCATGAGTTGCTATATGTTGCTGTTGCAATCATCATTTCATAGAGTCTTCTTTTACAGCATAGGGAGTCTGGGAGTCAGGATGGACTTCTGCAGCATGAGTCATCATACTATGCATACTGTAGAGAAAGTCCATTCATTAGCTGGACAATATTTGCTTTTATCCCCAACAATAAATGACTGTCTTTGCAATAAAATACTGCCAGTATTTTGCAACAGTGCCTATTGAACTTCTGCAATGCAGAAGGTGTTTTTTGGCTGAGTGGATCTCCAAAAAGAGACGTTGAATACAAAAGGCAAAGTCCCAGAGCTCCTCTTTTGGTATGGAATTTCTCAGCTATTCTTTTTATTGGCAATATATGAATACAGAATTAAAGAATCTCAGCTGGAATAATGCCACATCCCGGCAGGTAATCTTTGTGAATGTGGATGAAATGGCAATACCTGGTTCCGTTGAATTATCTTTGGCAAGGTGAAAAATGAGACTGGTTGGATGGAAAATGCAAGCTCAGGAAAAAGGTCATTTTGCCAAGTGCACCCAAAGTTCTGCAATGCAGAACTTGCTGACAACAGGAGATTGTCAAAATATAACCCTCCTCATATTTCTGCTTACAAATAACTTGCACACTGCAGTATGTAGGAAGTTGAGAGTGAGGGAGATTCCTCTGAAAGAATTATATAAGTATGACAAGTTAATTCAATATGGAGATAAGACAAACTGCACAATTCTGTGTAGTCTGCAATCTAACTACCAATATTAAAGCAATTTTCAAAAGGGGGATCAAGATTACAGAAACTCATGCAATGCAGATGAAACATTGCAGAAATATGTAATGTGAACAAAGTCTAGACCTGAAGGAGAATTTGTCTACACCAGTCTTGACCAATTTCTGATGCTCCCTGCAGTCCTCCCCCTCCATGCATGAACCCAAGGCAATTGCATACAGGTATAGAGAGGGAGAAAGAGATGCTGATTCCCCTCTGGCTGCTATTCCTTGCATTCCCAGAAAAGCTGCCCTAGAGAGCAGTGGAGTGCAGAGACTACAAATGGAAGGGGAAGAAGGAGAAAAAAAACCCTGCAGATGCAAACTCATACTGCTGTTGGCCTTCAAGTCATTTCTGACCTATGGAGGCTATAAGGCAAACCTATCACAGGGTTTTCTTGGCAAGATTTGTTCATGGGTTGGGTCCCTTTGCCTTCCTCTGAGTGGCATGACTTGGCCAAGGTCACTCAGTGGGTTTTCATGGCCAAGTAGGGATTCGAATCCTGGTCTCATGAGTCCTAGTCCAACATCCAAACCACTACACCACTCATATTATTTCAGATCAAATCACACAAGATCAGAAGTAAACAGTCTTTTGTTTTCAGCTTATTTTTTTGCATTTTCTTCCAGCTTTTCTAGTTCTGGATGATGTGACTCCCATTGGATGCTAATCATGATGGCTGTGTGTTATCTCAAAATTAGAGTCTCTGTACTTTTTGATGCTAGTTGCAGGGGAACACAAATGAGAGGATGCTCTTGCATTCATGTCCTGCTTATGCACTTTTCAGAGGCATCTTCTATTGCTGTTATTGGAAACTGAAGGCTGGCCTAGATATGCCTTTGCCCTGATCTGACGGGGCTATTTTTACAATTATATATCTCTGTTAAAGTCCATTGTCATTCAGCACTAGTAAGATATGGAGACATTTTTCAATTGAGTACAGCAACCTTAATGGAATAATTGGAGTACAATGAACTTCTCAATCAAATGCTCGATTAGAATTCATGTGAAATAAAGTTCTGTAGTTTGCTACTCATTTTATGTTCAAAATTTACAGTATTCATACTGCAAAAACTTTGGATCTTAAGGACACTCAGATCTGATTGAGCTCAGACAAAATCCAGAATTTAGATTCTGGAAACCAGCAAAGTTAATTACTAAAGATAATGATTCATAAGTTGATTTCTCTGAAATAATTGGAGTCAAGCCACCAGCTTTGCTAGGACACCGAATGTCTCTATCTCTCTTTGTGCTTGGCATAATTTCTAAATCCAGGAAGCTTACGTTTCAGTTAAATATACCCAGATCTGCTAACTTATTGATCTCAAAGCTCATTTCAGTTTTCAGTTTTTCTAGAGTCATGCTGACTAGCTCCTCACTGACAGTTTTAAAACAGAATACTATGATGCAAAGATGGAGTCCAGTAAGGATGACTGATTGAAATCCAACAAACTATATCTCACATCTTAACTGGGTTTGGGTGTTTGCCTAGGAATTTCAATAATCCAAAGCAGAATGATCTGAAGCTCTCATCAGTCCCAGGCCATCATGCCAATGTCTAAGGATGTTGAGAGTTGTAGTACAAAATTTCTGGAGCAATCTACTTTGGGAGAGGCTGATTTAGTTTGTTACAATGGCTGCTATGTGGCAAAGGGCACAAAATATGGTCCCCCGACATTTCAGTAACCCCTAATGTCTTCCCAGGTTCCTCAATAGAGTGGCAAATTACTAGAATTTCTCTTAACACTATTCCCTAACTCCTATCCCTGAGGTTTCTGGAGCTTGGGAAGACAAAGACCCTTTGATTATTTTTAGCAAAATCATCAGGTTTGGAAACCATGATGACTTGATTGCCATGTTTAAATAATTGAAGGGATGCCATCTTGAGGATGGAGCAATCTTGTTTTCTTCTGCTTCAGAGATAAGGACCTGGAGCAATGGATTCAAGTGACAGGAAAAGAGATTCCACCTAAACATTAGGAAGAATTTCCTGATTTTAAGATCTGTTTGACAGTGGGATGCATTCCCTCAGAGTGTGATGGAATCTCCTTTGGAGATTTTTAAACAGAGGCTGGATGGCCATCTGTCAGGAGTGCTTTAGTTGTGTCTTCCTGCATGGCATGGGGTTGGACTGGATGACCCTTGGGGTCTCTACCAATGCTATGATTCTATCAGAGATTCTCACCTTCTACCAGCTCATCAACGAGAACCTACCTAGTGTTGGCTGGTAGATTTGGGGAGCGAATCCCAGTATAACCTATGGTACTTTTTCAGCAATGCAGGTGTCCCACTCTATCCTTTTGTCATTGCTGCTTTATGTTCAGTCCCCTTCCTATGTATGTTCCTCCCCTCCCCATGGAATAGTTTACTCTCTGCTTCTTGCTTACTTCTTTCTCCTGACTGTACTAAAGGGCCATCTGTGTTTCCATTCCAGGACACGATCCAGCAGCTAGAAAATGAGCTGAGAGGTACAAAATGGGAAATGGCGCGCCACTTGAGGGAATACCAGGATCTCCTCAATGTCAAGATGGCTCTTGACATTGAAATTGCCGCATACAGGTAAGGGAGACACATTGCCAGTGTGGCTGGTCCAGGAATTGCACTGCAGATGCTTTGCTCCAGCAGCAACAGCAGCAACGTTCCCCCCACCTTCCCCAAACAAACACAACCCCAACATGATTTATGTTGATTCTTAGAAAGAAAATTTCCCAGCTTCTTAGTGCAATCTGGGCAAAAAATGACATTCAGAGTATCATGGCTTGCTTCTGCAGAGTTTGGCCATATACAGAGTATCTGTAGTCAGTTGTCAAGCAAAAAAAGCCATTATTTCTGCCATGTTTTAAGCTTTACCTTGTATTATTTTGGTGCCCCTTCCTAGATTTTGTCTAAACAATTTGAAAGCTTCAACACAGACACACACACACACACACACACATACTTACTAAGCAGTGAGTCTTATTGTAGTGGATGGTTTCTTTCCTTTTGAGGAATGGAATCATGCTTCAAAACAATAATGTTGAGCATCATCATATGGAAATAAATCCAACAGAAATCAATACCAGTCTTCTTCAAGTTAATTGAATGAGATCAACTGGTGTATCTGCACGGTAGAAATAATGCAGTTTGACACCACTTAAACTGCCATGGCTCCATCCCACAGAATCCTTGTGAGGCCCCAGCACTCTTTGGCAGAGAAGACTAAAGACCTTGTAAAACTGCACATCCCAGATTTCCATAGGATGGAGCTACAACACTTAAAGTGGTGTCAAACTACATTATTTCTGCAATGAAGATACGCACTCAGTTTATACTTTGAATTCAATTTGCTGCAGCTGAAGTAAGCTGAAGACAAGGGAGGAAGAGGGAGAAACTGTGACATTTTAAAAGTAGCTGAAAATTTGTGATGCCAGATGATTAATCAAGACTGTCTCTGAAAAATCAGAGTAATTGAAGGATATGCAGCCATTAGTATGAAAATGAGGAATAAGAAAGTCTTCCTTTCTTCTCCCGTATTTTTCCACATAAAATTACCCAATAATTTAGGCAAGGAAAATTAAGCTGGATATGCAAATATTCCTCAGCCATATGAATTTTTCATTTAATATTTACCAGATCGGGAACATAGCTATCATGTCTGTGGTGCTTTTGTCACATGTTTAAAAAATGACATTTGAAACTCATGAATATTCTAAAGGTAAATGCTTACCACAAATCTTTTTTTAATGCTTACCACAAATCTTTTTTTAATGCCACTCAAGTAAACTATAATTAATTCTTAATATAATAAATGGAGGGTTGCCACTATCCTGCTATTTTTCAGTGGCAGAAGAAAAAAATATTGTCCCATCATGATCCACAATTAAATATATGTGTACGCACATACACACTCATCAATAGATGACAGTTTTCTTCATTTTTGATGCTCTAATTCTTCTCTACCTGAAGTGTCCAACCCAGTGTGGCCAGTTTAATTTGCCTAATATTGATAAGATAGTAGTTTAACTATGTAATTCCTTAAATCTGATTTTAAATGTTCCTATTTAAAGTGGGGAGAAATATACTTATTTTACATTTTAATGTGAACTTATCTAATTTTACATTTTCAAACCAAAACTCTGTTATCCTTAACTGTACTCCTAGGAATTTTGCAATGGAACTCTCCAGTCAAAATATTCATCCAAAAATGCATATATCATCAAAGGAGAATCACATTAAATAACACTAAAATGCATGAAATCAGGAAAAATGCTTGCAAAAGTGCATGTTTTAGGCAAAAACCTCATACAAAAATGCATGTATTAGAAGCTTGTACAAAAATGCACAAAAGTGTCCATGCAAACTTTTAAAACATGAACCTGAAAGTTCAGACTAAGCCAAAACTAATGCCGAAACAAAAGATGAAACTGCAAGAAACCAAAATTTCAGGCTGATATGTCTGCATTCCTATGCATTGTTTAAGCAATGTAAGCTAGCACAAGCATCAACAAAGTACATCCTCAGGGCACACATAGCTCCCAGGACTTTTTGGTGTTATGCTCTTGTGCCAGAAAAACTGGGGGTGTTAGGGTTTTTCACTCCAGGCACCCCTAGAAGCAACAATTTGGGGGTTAGAGAAAATGGCTTGACAACTTCCAAAATCAATAACATAAGTGGCATTCCACTTTTTCCCCATGCTTTTTTTTTAGTCTGATGGGATGGGTTTAAAATGTAGCCCCCCAGTCCCAGGATTAGCATGAACAGGGAAAGGCCAGTTCAAATTCAAACCTAGAGAGGGTATTTTGTCCATAACAGATATAATATAGATGTCCTCCAAATGTTGTTGGACACTGCTTCCCAACTGGCCAAAAGACAAAGATGGAGTTTGTGGTCCAATAATATCTGGAGTTGGCCTAGTGGTTTGAGTATTGGACTTTGACTCTGGAGGCCGGGATTCAATTCCTGCTCAAGTCACATACTTTCAGCCTCAGGGGAAGGCAATGGCAAACCACCTTTGAATAACACTTGCCAAGAAAGCCCTATGACAGGGCCTTAGGGTTGCCACAAGTCAGAAATGACTTGAAGACACACAACAAAAAAATATCTGGAGATCTTCAGGTTCTCCAGCTCTCTTCTGAATGTTCTCTCCTTATCTCTGACAGATGCCTTATAACCACATGTGTAAAGTAAGCCCCCATTACTAGTCCCAGCTTCTGCCAACCTAGCAGTTTGAAAGCATGCCAATGCAAGTAGATCAATAGGTACCACTTTGGTGGGAAGGTAACAGCATTCGGTGCAGTCATGCTGGCCCTATGATCACAGAGTAGTCTCTGACAATGCTGGCTCTTTGACTTAGTACCGGAGATGAGCATCACTCCCTATGGTTGGACACGACAATCTTGTCAATGGGGAATACCTTTACCTTTTTAACCAAAATCAAATTTTTGCATTAATTAGTTTCTTGTCTTTGTGCCCAAATTGCCTTTTCACAGCAATACCCTATTTTTGTCAGTGACTTTTTTGATAATGCAAAGTGTTTAGGGCTGGCTTGGTCTTGAATGTGTGCCCTCCAAGTGTCCCAATTTAACAGGGACAGTCTCAACAAATCACCCATCCTCCCATTTTTCCAGCTGCTTTTAAAATGTCCCAGTTTTTCTCCTTCCATTTCCCTCTTTGTCCTCAGTTCACTTGAGTTGCTGCAAACCAAGTTCAAAGTGCAAAAATAATTTGGATTCCATTAACTTAGGGCCTAAGCAGACTGCCAGAAATAGTGCACAATAAATTGAGGCACTGGCCTGGCTCAGTGCTAGGGAATCATGGGAACTGTAATTTATTGTGGCACCAGAGCTCTCTGACAGAGAAGGCTCAATGTCTCAGAAAAAAATACAATTCCCATGATTCCCTAGCACTGAGCCAGGGCAGTGCCTCAATTTAATGTGCACTATTTCTGGCAGTCTGCTTAGGCCCTTAGTGAGGGGAGAGGTGAGGAGGGGGCAGAATCTTCCCCTTCCCAGTAGACTCAGGCAAAAGCAAACTGCTGCAGTCTCTCCTAGCTTGTGCATTCTTCCTCATTAATGATTTTTTTAAACCATCTGTACCACATTTTGTCATCTAGACTTCATTTCCTGGTTTTCATCTGTGAAAGGTTGGAGGGCATGAGAAAGTGCCATTTTAGTTATCTGTATAACTGCTTCTAAATATGGCCTGGAGTTTCTTCCTGGTGATGTGCCTATTTGTTTGTTTTTGATTCTGGATGTGGGATCATTTTTTTTTAAAAAAGAAAAATTGTTTAGAAGACAAGCAGCAACAACCTACAGCAGTATCTGTTTGGGTTACACACAAGTGTTTGTGTTGCCTTTTGCAAACAGCAAAATAAAAAGGGCTTGATTGATGCTCCAGATTCATTGTTGGATGTAAATTGTAAGCTTGCGCTTGAATCTCCTCCCCTGGGGCTTAGTGAAAGGCATTGCACTCCATGTATATAATAGCTCTATAAAGTAATGCAATGGCCTTTTAAAGATGTACAGAAATTCTAATTTTATAACCAGCCTCATTTATTGCAGCCCTGGAAGTATGCCTGTTCAAGAAAATATCCAGCAAAGAGAAGCAGTTGACTGACCATTGCTCATATTCATTCTCAAACCCTCTGAACTTGTCAGTCTTTGCCATTTGGCAGTTTGCTAGTCATGCAAACAGATCTGGGAAGAAAGTGGGGATTGTTAGGACTTGCTGATAATGTCACACTAATAATTCCCTAAAGCAATTCCAAGAGGAAAAGGGTGTTTTCTCTAAGAGGGAAGGGTTGCAATTTCATCAGTCATGTTGACCAAAACAAAAAACAAAAAACACATTCTATAGATATCTATTCAAAAGAAAATTCCATTGAGTATAATGGGATTTATCCCCCTTTAAGTAGATATAGGCTTGCAGTTTTAATAACATTCCCATTCCATTCCATTGCCCCCATGCCAACAAAGTGGTTCAGGAAGAAAAGACAAACTGAAAATCCTGCAGTGTATGAGATAGTGTAGTAGAAAATAATACTGTGGCAGAGTTTATCCATTGTCTAATCTGCACTACAGAAATAATGCACCACTTTAACTGCCATGGCTCAATGCAATGACGTTCTGGCAGTTACCGTTTTGTGAGATGTTTAACCTCCTCTGTCAGGGCGATTTGGTGCCACAATAAACTATAAATCCCACGATTCCATAGCATGGAGCCATGGCAGTTAAGCAGTGTCAAACTGTGTTATTTCTGCAGTGCAGACCAGGATTTACTTACTCATAGTAGCTCTGTAGAGCTATTAGAGCTACCAAGAGTGGCACCAGGCTGCTCTAGTATTCTGCTAATCCCTTGTCAATTTTCTTATTATTGATTATTTCTCCAGGAAACTTCTTGAGGGTGAAGAGACAAGATTCAGTGCCTTCTCTGGCAGCATCACTGGGCCAACATTCACACATAGGCAACCTTCAGTAACAATATCAACAAGCAAAATCCAGAAATCTAAAGCTGAACCTCCAAAGCTAAAGGTCCAACACAAATTTGTAGAAGAAATCATTGAAGAAACCAAAGTAGAGGATGAGAAATCTGAACTAGATGTGGCCCTTGCCGCTATGGCTGCAGAACTGGCTAGCGGAGCAGTGCCTGAAGAAGAGAAGGAGGAAGAGGAAGAGGAAGGAGAGGCTGTGGAGGAAGAAATTGTGGCAGAGGAGAAGGCTGAAGTTGAAGCAGCAGCCCCAGAAGCTGAGGAAGAAGGAGGAGAGGAGGAGGAAGGTGAAGAAGAAGAAGAGGGAGATGCAAAATCTGATGAAGCAGAAGAAGGTGGGTCTGAAAAAGAAGAAGATAAGAGTGAAAAGGAAGAGGGTGAAGAAGAAGCCGAAGAGGAGACAGCTGAGGAAGAAGGTGAGGGAGATGAAGCTGAGAGTAAGGAAGGAAAGGAAGCCCTAAAAGAAGGTGGAGGGGAGGTGGAGGAAACCATTGCAGCAGAGAAGGCAGAAAAGGCAAAAACATCTCCTCCTAAATCTCCTGTGACAGATGAAGCAGAGGCGAAAAAAGGCGAGAAGGAGGATAAAGAGGCTGGTGAAGAAGCTGGAGAAGCTGAGGAAGAGGAGAAAGCAGGCTCACCAGCAAAGGAAGGTTCTCCTGAGAAAGCAGGAACACCAGAAAAAGCAAAGTCTCCAGAGAAAGAGAAAGCTGGGACTCCAGAAAAGGCAACCTCTCCCAAGAAAGCTGGAACTCCTGAGAAGGGCTCTCCTGAAAAACCTGGAACTCCAGAGAAAGGGTCTCCTGAGAAGGCAGGGACTCCAGAGAAAGCAGGAACCCCAGAGAAAGCCTCTCCAGAAAAAGGGGGGACTCCAGAGAAAGCAGGGACTCCAGAGAAAGCAACTTCTCCAGTGAAAGCAGGGACTCCAGAGAAAGCAGCTTCTCCAGAAAAAGTAGGAACTCCAGAAAAAGCAGCTTCTCCAGAAAAAGCAGGAACTCCAGAGAAAGCAGCTTCTCCAGTAAAAGCAGGGACCCCAGAAAAAGCAGCTTCTCCAGCAAAAGCAGCGTCTCCAGTGAAAGAAGAGACCATCTCAGCCACCAAGGCAGAAAAAGTTGGTGCAGAAGAAAAGAAAGAAAAAAGTGTGAAAGCCTCAAGGGAATCCACCAAAGAAGATATTGCAGTGAATGGAGAGGTAGAAGATAAAGGAGAGGAGGAAGACTCCAAGACAAAGCAAGTTGAGGAGGAAGATAAAGGGGTTGTCACCAATGGCCTGGATGTGAGCCCCGTTGAGGAAAAGAAAGGGAAGAGTGATGAGAAAGTTGTAGTAACCAAAAAAGTAGAGAAAATCACAAGTGAAGGGGGTGATGGGACCACTACATATATCACAAAGTCTGTGACAGTCACACAGAAGATGGAAGAGCATGAAGAAACGGTTGCAGAGAAATTGGTATCCACCAAGAAGGTAGAGAAGGTCACTTCTTCACATGCTGTAATGAAAGAAGTTAAGGAGAGTGACTAAGATAATCTCTTTCTCCCCTCTCCTTCCAAAAAGCTTGGGTCGGTGCAAAAGGTTAAGCCATATGACAGCTGCAAAATGCATGTAAGTGACGGCTTCTAAGCAGAACGGGTTCTCTCGTGGAGTCTCCAGGAACACTCTACTTTATTTCTGATTATTATTATTATTTTGTGCAATACCCAGGGATTGGGCGGGGGGAAAATGCATGCACACCTGATGTGCTCCCTCTGCAGAATTTGGGGAATTAAAAAAATGCATGAGCTGTTATTCTTACAGAGGAACTTGCTGAATTTCCTAAGCTGCTGATGGGATGCTTCTGAGGAACATCTTATGATGTATTATGCAAAGAATCAACTGAGCCAAATACAAACAAACAATAACAAAAGAATGAATGAAAATGATAGTAATACCCCCAAACCCTCCTAGCCTTAAGCTATTTAATAATTATGTTTACCTCACTGGTGCAATTAAAGAGGGATGTTTGTTCATGGGAGAACCTACCTTGACATGCACAGTACGCAACCTTTTGTTGTTTGATGTAAAGCAGTCACAGCAGTTCATGCTCAATAAAGGTCATATTGGAAACATGCCTAGCTTTCTTCTGAGTTTCTTTCTCAGCTATGAGGTCCCATGAATTGTTGTCTTTGCTAATAGAAATGCATATGGAGTAGCTCTGTGCCCATTCCTTTTTCACATTAAAATGTCCTTTGATTCCAGACCTCTCAAGCACAGTTGCTAGGCCTGCAGATAAATGATGGAACCTGGTGGAGTGGCTATTCTTGATGGCTCTCTGAAACAGTGTTATTCCACTATTCATTTCTAGGAAAAGGAAGAGAATTTATGGGATTCAGTGTCAGATAAAAGTTTGCAGGTTTTCCAGCCACAATCTTCTCCAACCTGCATGGTATCGTATAGGAGGAGGTCAATAGCAGGTTACACCATGAGTTACCACACTAAGTGCCACCAACCCT